AAAACAATCATCCCATTTCATGACGAAGTGTTTATGACGTGTTTGCAGGACGTTTCAGACGGAACACTGAATGAGGAGACGTGTCTGATTGGCACATAGCAGTAAATCTCTGTTTCCTCTTGAGATAGGCAGAAATGTGGAATCTTTTTCAGCTATTAAATTTTCAAACCGGGAGACATTTTCCATTTTTAAATATCCACATCTGTGATATGGTTGATGAATCTTGCACATGGAAGTGGAATCCTTAGATAACCCCCTTATAAAAGTGCCACATATATCAGTCCAACCATCTTTACTGCTTCTTAACAAGAGACTTGTAAAAGATGAAAGAGTCCACATGTTTTCAACATTCCTACATCATCTTACTGGCACAAACTCACTCAGTGTTAAATTGGCAGTGAGACATACTTCCAGTAAGTGTGTAGTTATTGTTGAACATCTGACACATCTACATTTACATAATGGCACATAATGAGTGGACAATGTACCTCATCACGTAATGATTTAGCATACATAGTCTTTAACATTTAACAGTCCATAATATTCACAACCCTCAACCCTAGCCATAATAAATGACCCCATTAGGGCATAAAGACAGAGTTCAGAAAAGTATAATTCCTGCTGCTTTCCTAACACCAGCGTCCTGCAATGTCATCCACTTTTAGTAGCCTTTTTAACTCTGCTCTGAATTGTACCAAATCATAGCCACTAAATACAACCGAAATGCCATTTAGAATTTTACAAGCAATAAACATATGTGCAGCACGACCACTAGATAGACCACCTTAACTGTCTGTCTTTAATTCATCAGAAGTAATGAGAAACCTTCGTGCTTGGTCATTCATTTCTAATATATGTCACCATATTAGGACAAAACTGCCTTTTATCAACCTGAACACATTTTTTCTCACTGCCTGATCTCTGCAACCCCCATGTAACACTGCATTATATACAAATTCTACAAAATGTAATAAATTTTCACTTATTTATCAATAAATCCATATTACATATTTATTGCCACATTTTGTGATGACAAGCCTAAATTCAATATGAAACAATTTCCCCTATATCCATCCATCATCTATACACCGCCTAATCCTCATTAGGGTCATGGGGGGCGTGAGTCTATCCCAGTTGACTTAGGGTGAAGGCAGGGGACACCTGGACAGGTCACCAGTCTATCACAGGGCTACACTTAGAGACAGACAACCAAGCACACTCACATTCACACCTACGGACAATTTAGAATCACCAATTAACCTCAACATGTTTTTGGACTGTGTGGGAGGAAGCCGGAGAACCCGGAGAGAACCCACGCTGCACGGGGAGAACACTATACGCAGAAAGATCCCGGGTGACCTTCTAGCTGCGAAGCACAACGCCAACCACCGCGTCACCTTGCAGCCCATTTCCCCTATGTATTTAAATAAATTAGTCCATATTAGGGTGGTTATTATAAAACACTGGAGGTGCATCTTTTTGATGAAAATCTAGTAAGATGGCTCATTACGCTAAAAAAAAAAAAAAGAAAAGAAGAAAAAAGCCCTATTCCTAAAAATAATTGCATTTTACCAAAAGAAACAAAACCAAAATCTAGCATAAATCATACCCACCCAAGCATTTAAAAAAAAAAAGATACAATTTGTTCAGTGGACCGGCAGTATCTGTCAGACATAAAATAACATTTGACATAACATTTTTTAAAGAACTAAACACAGCTTAACCAAAATCATTCACAATTTTTGAGTCCTGGTTCAAAGGTTTCAGAGATTAGTCTACTTTTAAGACCGAGAAAGGGTCTGTTTCAGAGATACACAGCAGTGATGACAGGTTTCTTCACCAAGTTTAGTCCTGGCACTGATCAATACTAACAGCCCACTCTCACTTAACCTGAGAGGCCTCGCTAGAGTGCATCCCTTATACATGTCCGTAATGTATTTGGTCCCACTCCATGTATTGATTCATAAGCAAGCAGCGATGCCTTATAGTTTATATTCTGTGGATGTCAGGAAGCCAGTGTAGCGACTTAAGAATCGGGGCGATGCGGTCTGACCTTTTGGTCCCTGTAAGAAGTCTTGCAGCTGCATTTCGAATCAGTTCAAGCTTTCTGATGATCTTTTTGGATGAGTCCTGTGAAAACACCATGTAAGTGTTCTACCCTGGTAGAAACAAAAGCAGTTTTTTTTCAGGTCTTCTTTTGACATGCACTCCCTGAGTCTGGCTGTATTGGTGAGATTAAATGAATAAAAAGCTAACAGTTACTGCCCTATGTGGCAGTTTAGACTAGGATTAAAGTCAGCTGTAAATACAGTCTGATTTAATATTTGGGAAGTTAAGTTATCAATGAATGAATAATGATAATGAATTTTAAAAAAAAATGAGGGCTTGGGTCATGAGATTATCATTAGGACTAGTTAAACAGGCTGCTTTTTTATGTTTCTAACATTAACACACAGATAGCAAACTGAAACAGAGACAGCTCTATTGGATGAATGCTGCCTGCAGGTCCACAGACTTTTTTCCAGACGAGTGACTTAAAGTTGCAGTGAAAGCACAGGCGTTACTGACAACTTTAAAAATGTCTCTGTTCTAAGCAAGTGTCCTGGTAAGCCACGACTGAGTGACTGTGAGCCAGTATGCACCACACCAAGATCCAACAGAATCACAGAACTGATATTCTCTTCTGCATCAGTTTATGGTGGAAATGTGTAGATTTATGCAAGAAAACATTAAATGTAGACACCAGATATTACCTTACAATATCATAGAATATAATGCAGCGATGGTCTCAGGAACTCTGCATGGCTTACATGTAAAACTCCAGTAGATTTACTTTTCCTTTTTCCCCCTGTTGAGTCAACAAGCATATAAGCACAAATTACTCTTCTATCATTTTTGTATCTTTTTTGAGGGGAGGTCACCTCTATGTTTGTGTTTGTGTCACCTTTTCTTAACACATTTGACTTGATTTGTAAATCCTTGAACTTTAATAGCTTTAAGATTTCTGCTCATGTTCAAAACTTATATATATTGTCATATTTGACATGGGCTGCAGGGTGGTGCAGTTGGTAGCACTGTTGCCTCGCAGCAAGAAGGTTGCCGGTTCGCATCCATAATGGATGGATATTTGACATGCTAAAGATAAAATCTCACAACTGTCAGATTTATTGTTGTGTCAACAATTTAAAAGGCTTTGGTAGTAAAACTAAAATAAATCCTTGCAGTAATCTGATAAGTCAAATTCCATCCATCCATCATCTATACACCGCTTAATCCTTACTCGGGTCATGGGGGCTGGAGCCTATCCCAGCTGATTTAGGGTGAAGGCAGGGGACACCCTGGACAGGTCACCAGTCTATCACAGGGCTACACTTAGAGACAGACAACCAAGCACACTCACATTCACACCTACAGACAATTTAGAATCACCAATTAACCTCAACATGTTTTTGGACTGTGTGGGAGGAAGCTGTAGAACCTGGAGAGAACCCACGCTGCACGGGGAGAACATCCAAACTCCATGCAGAACCGTCCCAGGTGTCCTCACCGAGACGTGAACCAGCGACCATCATGCTGCGAGGCAACAGGGATAACCACCGAGCTACCTTGCAGCGCCCCAATTCAAATTCACTCTCTGAAACCCAACTTTCACTCACTCAGGTTTCAGTGAATAGAAATACGGTGTCTGAGTAAAGCAGCATTAGATGACTGTAACTGCTACGCCTGGCAGAAGTCTGGGAACATTAACAGAAACTGAAGTTTAGCGTGTTACTTCCGGCTGTTTGCAGGAATCTACCCTCTGAGTTTATCAAATTCCCAAAACATCAAACAACAACAACAAGATCAATATGGGAGTCTCCAAAGCAAGAGGTACACACATTCATGCACAACGCAACACGGCAGAACCGTCATTAATAAGTTGGTCAGGGTTTAACAGTAAATGATGCCGTGAACGTTCCTCCACTTCAGACAGGTGAGCTGTCACACAGATTAAACGTTCATACGCTGCAGTTAATTCATTAGTTACACAGCTGAATCCTGAGCTCCTTCACAGCTGGATTTTATTTTACCGTCAGAGTTTGATCCGTTTAGTAAAGGCAAAATATTTTTTCTGACATCAAGTTTTTCTATTCGGGAGATTTTTTTCCTTTTCACAGCAGGGTATTTGCAGCACAGACATTAATGCGTGTATAGATGCATTACAGAACACGACTTCTCCAATCATTAAAGTAGCTAATAAAATATGAAAAAAGGTTGCCTAGTAACCATGAAAATATATTTTAAGAATTTTCAGTATTGACGTCATAAATAAACTGTAGAGGTCTTTCTGAAACGTGAGCTTCTTCCTCAGCAACTCTTCTCCTGGGCTCTTTTAAACAGAGGCGACTGATAAAACCAAAACATTAACTGCACTTGCATCAATCAGCTAATTAGTAACATTAACTGTAAAATAAGTAACCAAAGTATGCAACTTGTCAATGCTCATGTTGACAGTTTTCACTGACCTCTATACTACAACAGTATAACTAAAATTCAGTTACGGCCACAAGATTTCAGTGTCCTCATCTGACCACCTTGGAATCCTTTCTGGAGGCTCTACTGATAAGTGCTAATTAACAGGCACTGGACAAAGAGGCACAACAATTCTAATTAATGTGGTCAAACCTTCATTTAGTTATAGAAAATTAGGAGATTTCCAGCATCCATATATTAACTTACTGCCTCTGCTGAAATCAGAGTGCACCTCTCTAAGGCTCCTGGACACTTTACCAGCCACGTGAAAAACATTTTTAGAGGGTTGTTTTTTGGGCTTTTTTGCCTTTGCACAGATTGTGCAGAGTAGATATTATACACTGAAAATGTGGGAAAAGGAATCAGGACAACGACATGGAGTGAAGGGCAATTTAGTCTGTGTATAATGCACCCTAACCAGTTGCCCCAACAACATTTTAAGAAGAAAAACCCCTCAAGTAAAGATTGTAACAGTAAAGGACCTTTACCTTGATGTTGGAGAACCACAGGTCGTTCTCATGTAGAGTGGCCACATAGATGCAGCAGAGCAGGCCAAGACCAACAGAAACAGACCATCCAACCGATGTCCAGATTATCGCTCCCCATGACCAGTCACCTGCAACATTAACATGTCATTTTGTTGCTGCTGCAGCGTAAAATAAAATTTAAAAAAAAACACACACCATACCACCTTAATGTTTTCGATAAAGGTATTTTGCAGAGAAGGTACTTTGAGGCATCAAAGCTGATGATAATGGCTGATGGTTAAATTCTGTTTAGCTGCTTTGTCTTCATATTATTGTGCATGTTGACTCCATGTTGGCTGCTGGAGCAAAAGTACTTTAGACAACTTCTTGTCCGACCACATCAGAAATAAAAAGTGCCTACACCTGTTCAGCCACACTGGAGGGTAGAATGAAAAGCCGGCCTTCGTAGAGAGACAAGAGGCTCAATATCACTTAAATATGGAGATAAGAGCACACATTTTCAGACAGTCTCTGCTGGAAAGCACTTATGGTGTCGTACTTAGACACTCAAAAGTGACAGAAACACCTGTGTCAAGTATGAAAAAGAGAGAGCAAACGAAAGAAGCTCTGGCTCCTTTCTCACCTCTGCACAGCTGGACAATCTCTGCATGAAGTGGCTGTGGATGTTTCAGAAACTTACATAAATGGTTGGACATAGGCCTCACTGGTCCAGTTTCGTACAGTGTGTGTGTGTATGGGTTTGTGGTAATAACATCCATGCGTTTTCTACTATGACAAGTAACTACCCGCTGTCTGTAGTAAAAATGACTTACTGTTTCTCATATCTGTTTACAGTATTAGACCTTTTTTTTTACAACAAACATTTTGAATTGTCATAGCTGGTGAAGCAAAGTTGCCAATAACACTATATTCCCCTTTTCAGACATGCACTCCTTTCCATTAAGCCGACGGTCGTGATCACACTCGGTCGAATGCAGTGACAATAATACATCATTCTCAACGCAGCGCAAATCTGAATCGCATATAGTCGCATTAGCGAACACATATACAATACATCCCTTGATGTAACATCCAATCTCCCATCTACATCAAATATTTTGCTCATGCCATGGTTCTCTCCAGTCGTATGTTTAAATTATTCAGCTACAGAGAGGCTGATATTGACCAAAAACACTGTCACGCAATTGTTGTCTCTACACAAAGCCACACAACTAAGACAGAACCCACTGATGTGACTGCTTTGACCCTGACAAAAAACATGATGTCAATTAACGCAGTTACTTAAGATGCTTTCAGTAACATAATCTGCGTCCTTTGAGAAGCGGTATGTAATATTTTTTTCTTAAGTTGCCTTTTCAGAGCTGTATGAAAACACAAGTTCAAACAGTGCTGTCACAAGTGGAATATTATGCAGCTACAGTGGCCTTGTGGTCGAGTCAGACACCAGAGCCTTACTAAAGTCTGACCTTCTACTTTATTAAATAGGGTTTCCAAGTGAAAAGTCGCCGTTTTTTCTTGAATGGCCATACAAGTGTGAATAGGCAGCAGCAGGGTTGACAGAAGCTCTGGCTGTTGGGGGCCTTGATGTCTGTATAACAACAATGTGGTGAACATGGTGAAGGCTGCCGTGCTGGGCCAGACTTAATTATACCCATGCTACATATACAAACACTGTTTTTTAAATAAAAAAAATATATATATATGGCAGAAACAATATCATTTTACATATCCTATGTCTGAAAAATGCCAACAATGCTGCAGTAAGAGATGTCACCGAGTCAACATGCACGGCACCAGGCAGTTTGGAAATTGTTCAATAAAGGTTACTTATATAACAAAACACTAATTTAATTTCATCCATTAAAGTTGAAGTCTTTGACATTAAGAAAATTACAGTTAATTCTCCCTGATCTCTCAAAAGATGTAACACAACATGACAGCATATGTAAGGGCTCAAAAGGTGTGAGAATGCACGCCTGAACCAGCAGTGAGTCATTAAGAAGTCAGTACAATTAGGCCAATTATTGGATTTTATATTCAGCATATTTTC